GCAACGGGTCCACCCCATGAAACCCAGACGGATTAGGACACCAATAGAAGGGGAACCTCGGCAGCCCGCCAAAATAGAACCCCTCGTCCTCCAAAGGGTCGACATCAACAAGGGTAACCCGGAAAAACTCTTGCCTATAATTTTTATAAGATTGGGAGTAAGGAGTAAATAAACCCCCATCCTTACCCCCATTCAAAGAAAGGACGCCATACAGCGGAGCGCCCGCCTTCAACTGGTAGAAAAAAAGAAAAACCCGAAGGGACACCTCCATCCCTAGAACCGCGCATAAAACCTGAAACGCCCTCAAAAAGCCCCAACTGTTGGGATGCAGCTGACTGGGAGCCGCATTAACGTAGTTCAAAAAGTCGCATTCGAACTGCGTAAAAGGAAGGCAGACACCCAGGTCCCTGAAAAAACTTTGATATACATAAAAGGAGGGGGGACCAGCAGACCTCTTCATATACACACCTTCACCAGCCGGACAGGGCTCCAACCGGATCATTTGAGAGATAGAAGGGTCACAAATCCTATGCGTCTCCCAGAGCGCATCAACCTCCAAAGTCGAATCGAAAACGCTCGCGACCTTGGCCATTTCGCGTTTTACCCAATCATAGCCAGGAACGCCCGACTCCGAGTCCCTAGGCGGAGGCATCTCTTTTCCCTTAGCGCGCCCCTTCCGGTAAACACCTCTTTACCACGTGCCTTGCCCCTAACAGGGGCGGAAGAGCCGGCGCCACGACCACCAGCCATCAAGAAGAACAAGAAAACTCAAAGAAGCACAAGAAAGACGGAGAAAACAGAGATGGAGAGCAGACGAAGACGAAGCGTGCACGAGAAGCCGAAGGACGAAAAAAAGAGAGTAAAGAGAAAAGGGAAAGAGGCGCCAGAAAAAGAAAAACCTCTCCCCAAATTCAAAACGGCCAGGCCACGTGTCGGCCAAGGGGGCACGCCTGACGACACATTAATTGCAAATCATCATTGCATAACCGTCATTTTCCTTAATGCTCCACTCGCACGTTTCCGGGAAATGAACAGCTGTGACACATGGCAGACCTTCAGATAACGTATGCGAAAAGCCACTCCCCTCTAGCGAGCCCGGTCTTAACTCCTCGACCTACGGCCTTCGGAGCTCGGGGGGCTAGTGTACTATCCGTACTTCGCAGCTGGGCTCCGAACTCGGGTTATCAACGCGGGGCGACCCCGGACAACTAGTTATCCGGTGTCAGCCCGGTATCTGAGCAAATCACAACTGAAACCCGGGATCCCGCCCCAGACGGGCTCCCTCATTTAATTATATCACAACATATCCTATCTCAGGCCCAAGGCCCAAGACAAACCTAAATCACTTCAAGGTACGTGCATTATATATACGAGACTATTATTCATACAGACCCTAACTTTGGCATCGGAGTCTCTTTTGCAGGTACCTCCCCCATCTTGGAGCACCAATACATCAAGCAAAGGAGGCTCACCGATCTTACTGGACGGGTCACCTCTACGACCAAATTCCGGTAAGAACAATAAATATACACTAATGCAAAAATACTGTTTAATGGCGTAATTCTGTGTGATTATTTTAGAATCAACGTAATGGCACCATTTACAAACTTAAGTTTGTTGTTCAACAACAAAGAGCACTTCATAGTGTGGCTCCATGTATGAGATTATTCAAGTTGTTAATGGAGATGTGACAAGATTCAAAAGTTTTGGGATACTAAATGAACAATGTCTATGAAAAAAAAATGAAATCATGTTTCATCACAACTTATTGTTGGAAACATTTATTTTAATAAAAATTCAACTTTCAGTTTTATTATTTTCTCTCTTTTGAATACTCCGAAATCATGCTTCATAACAACACTCAAACAATTTGTTGCTAAAAAAATTAAAAGAAGTCAACAAAGAAATAACACCCAAGGAAGAGAACATAGGATTGAATACTTGAATGCATTTTTTTATTCAATTTAATGTTTTCAAAACTTACCTATTTATAATTTAGTCTTTATTTTAGCCATTAACAGTGTAACACTCTCATTGATTGCCAATCCTCTGTAGAATAAATTTAAATTCTTATAATTTGTTTTGACACCAAATTCTTATAATGTTTAGTTACTTGTTGACTTGAATTGAATAACAATTTAGTTCATACAATATGGAGTTGTTTTTATTTTGGTCTTCTAATTTTTTTTTTCCAGTTCTGGTTCCTGTAAATTTCTTTATTTCGTTTTAGTCTCTCTTTTCCTCTTAACCCTAAACACTAATTAACAGAGTATGAAACAATCCTAATATGTTTCTTAGAAAGAAAGACTGAGATGAAAACATTAAAATATAAGAGGAATTAATACAAAAAAAATTACAACTTTATAGAAATTAAAACAGTGATTTTAAGGATTAAAATGAACTATAAAAAAATATAAGAACTAAAATAGGAAAAAAAATTAAGAGGATTAAAAAAGTTATTTAAGCTTTCATTGTTTCATTTAAAATTTGGAAGAGAAGTAAGTTTTTAAGTTAAATATTGATAGAATGAATTTTTTACATTGTTGTCTTATCAAAATTTAGCATGTATCATAATTTTATTAACGTTATAAAAATTTACTTAAAAGTCATAATTTGTGATTAACATCTAAATTTTTTTTGGATTATCTGCATTGTTATTAAAGTTTAAAACTTAGAGCAACTCCAATGAGAGTTGCTTGTCTCATGAAGCAACTCAAGTCCTGGTTTCTTACCATTGGAAGACTATGATGTGGTAACATGAGTTGCTTGAAAAAGAGAGAGAGTTGTTTCCTCAAGCAACCGTTCCTTACCAGATTTCAATCAGATCTTATTGAACATATTTGGGAACGTTTCAGAAATAATAATGATGAAAATTAATTTCGTATAATGTTTATGTATTTACTATTGCTTTATTTTATTTTTAATATCTACTTATTGTGTATTTTTTCTCGTAATTTATTTTCTTTTATTGTAGTACAATTATCCTTTTTAATAAAAATTTAAATTTGGTTCATAAATGATTAGAAAAAAAATTCTAAAAGTTGAATTTCTTAAAGTTTATTACTATTGGAGTAAATTTGTGTTTGAGTTGTTTAATGCTGACACGACATAATAGGGACCACTTTTTTCATTTTTTAATGCATGAAGCAACTCAAATAAATTGCTTCTATTGGAGATGCCCTTAATCAATCTTTTTATATTATTTTGTTAAATTAAAAAGTAACATCAATTGCTTTCAAAAATTTTAAAACATATTATTCATTAAAACTATTTAATGTTAGAAAAAACAATCACATATCATGATTTATTTCAAAAGTTATATGATAAAATTATGAAATGGGGGCATCAATGTTGGCATATACACTTTGTATTTAACAGTTTTGCAACAATGAGATAAATGGGAGTAACAGTTTGCAACGTGCCTTCGATTTTCACGGTGTGCATATATATTTCTGGTTTTTTCCCTCTATTAAGCAGTTAATATATTCTACATGTGGTTCATTATTAATGTTGATTAACTCATTATCAAATGATTTGCAAGTATGATACTGTGATTTCCGCACATTTCAATGTTCAAAAAACTCTGATGGATTAGAGTTCTATAAATTAGATGTATATCTCTATTTTTGGTCACTGAACCTACTCTTATCTTCAACATATAACATCATCGTGTATTGAGAGCAAGGGTTCAAAAACCAGAACCAAACGAGCAACAACAACGATGGTTAAAAGTTGGTTCTTTAACTTCCAGTTTTTAAATGATTTAAATGTGTTTATTTTAATTATTTCACATATTTGGATCATTAGAATCTTATTCTCACAATCAAATCAAGCATTATAACTGCCATCATAATACTCACGTGAAACAAATACCAGTTCAGTTCTTTTGAAGGGTTTTTCTTTCTTTTTATTCTGTTTGGTTACATTATAAGATGAAAACACACTACAGAGAGATAGAGAGACAGTACGTAACCTAACACAATTTTCTAAAATAATGAGTCACACTTTTGAGGGAGGCTTCGACCACACCTGAAACCTATTTACACCTTTCACTCCTTGTTAACCATGGTGTTATATAGCATATCATCACTCATTTCAATAAGCATGATCGCTAAATTTCATTTTTTTTATCTATTAAAACTATAGTAAGACAATAGATTCGTATTTAAAATCATGTATGTATTATCTTACCTCTTTCATTACTAAGATAATCATAATGATTCTCTACCTGAATCAGTCTTGATTAATAATAATATATTTGAATAGTACATATAAGATTTTAAGTTTTAAGTTTATTTTCATCATTTTACACTTAAAAAAAAATCATCACACTCATTGCCATAACATGAGCACATGCATGCATGAAACACCTGTGATTGTCCCGTCATGTCTGATATGGGTTTGTAAGCAATCTCATTCACACAAAACACTCTCCATTGTACCCCCACTCTGGGGAAAGGCCTTGCTTTGTTTCCAAATTGGGAAAGAAACCCCAGCTATGTTCAATCATACCAAGTTCTTTTCAAGTTGAAGTTCAGTCAGTTTTTTCACTGCTTAAAATAATTTGTGAAACATTTAATAAAGCTTTAATTTTCATTATGTAAAATTAGTCAATTACAAATCATTCCAAAAATAATATTTAAAATTATTATTATAACCACCGTGTAAATCAACTGACGTGAATTTATTTTAATTTAATGAATTTATGATGATATTTTCTATTTTGAACATAACTACTTCTAAGGAAGAATTTGATCTATACTAAAAAATTTAAGATTATGAAAATTAACAATTTTATCGTATATGAGGATATGCAATAAAAAAAATCTTTACACCGAAAATACATTCTAATCAAATTCATTTAAAAAAAAAAAAACCAAATTTATAGAGAATATGAAATTCAAGACTCGTACACTTAACTAGTGACACATATAATGTCAGGTTGGAATATATCCAAGCTGGTGTGTATTTAAAATCTGATTGGTTTTGGATTTGTCTCTCTCCACAGAGTGACAGATCAATTGTGAATATAATAATTTGTGATGTACTGTGCATATATACAAGTCCTTGATCGACCTTATAGGCCATCTCGCTCTTGTGGAACTTCCCCTTCTCCCCTTCATGCTTGCATCATGAAGATCTTTGCAGAGCTACAATTATTGTTGATTTTTGCTTTTCTTTTGCACAGTGGAAATGGAATTGAAACATTCAAATTCAGGGTACCTGAAAAACAACTTTACCGAACTTCTTATCACTTTCAGCTCCAACAAAATTGGATGAACGGTATTGTTACCTCACCAAGCTTTGTGAATCTAATTTTAGTATTAATACTTCGTAGGTCAACTTATTTATCTGTTCTGTTCTGTTTCTTTTGTTAAACCACTGATTTCTTTTGTTAAACCACTGATAAATCTAATCCTTTTCTTTTATCATTTGACATGTTTCTGCTGACAATAATTTGAAATGGATTGTTCTTCATTATGCAGATCCAAATGGTAAGCCCGTGAATTTATATCACTATCAGTTATTTATTTACATAATTACCTTCCCAGCACATCATCCATGACATGAGACAAAATAGAAACTCTCATTATTTTTCTGTTCCATTTGAAATTTTGATCAAAATTTTCTTTGACCGATTAAGATCCTATTTGGATAAACTTAGTCCAAGACATTATATAAGAAGAAAATAGGATGGAAAATTGAGTTAAGCTAAATTTAACTTATACATTTAAATTTTATAGAAACTGTCATCCAGTGTCGCTAAAAGTTAAGTTGCATAAGTTGATTTTAGTTTATGGAAGAAACTCAATTCACTTTATCTTCTTATTTTTTTCTCGTATAAATTCTTCTTAAAGTTTATCCAAACATGACTAAACATTCAATATTTAATCTCCCAGGACCTATGTACTACAAAGGTGTCTACCACCTTTTCTACCAACATAATCCTGAAGCAGCAACCTTTGGTGACAGGATTGTATGGGGTCACTCAGTATCCTATGATCTCATCAATTGGATTCATCTGAATAATCCAATTGAACCGAGTGAGCCCTATGACATTAATAGTTGTTGGTCTGGCTCAGCCACTATACTCCCAGGGAAAGAACAACCTGTTATTTTATACACAGGAATTGATGATAAAAAACACCAAGTTCAGAACTTAGCTATGCCAAGGAATCTATCAGACCCCTTCTTAAGAGAATGGGTGAAACACTCTCAGAACCCTGTCATGACTCCTCCTAGTGGAGTTGAAGTGGATAATTTCAGAGACCCTTCAACTGCTTGGCAGGGAGAGGATGGAAAATGGAGGGTAGTCATTGGTGCTCAAAATGTTGATGAAGGGAAGACAATTCTCTACCAAAGTGAGGATTTTGTTCATTGGACAGTTGATCCTAATCCCTTTTATGCATCAGATAATACAGGAGTTTGTGAGTGTCCAGACTTCTTTCCCGTGTTCATAAATGGCAGCACAAATGGGGTGGACACATCTGTGCAAAATTCAAGTGTTAGACATGTCTTGAAGATAAGCTATCTAAGAAAACAGCATGATTACTATTTTCTTGGCAAATATGTTTCTGATCAGGAAAACTTTATTCCTGATGTTAGGTTTACAGGAACTAGTTCAGACTTGAGGTATGACTATGGTAAATTCTATGCTTCCAAGTCATTTTTTGACTATGCCAAAAGCAAGAGGATATTGTGGGGATGGGTGAATGAATCTGACACCACACAAGATGACATTGAGAAAGGATGGGCCGGTCTACAGGTATTTTAGTTATTTCAGATCCCTTATGTTTCGATGTTCATATGAATCATACCATAAGGTCTAATTCTTTGCGAAATGTTAGCTATAAAATCTTTAACAGTCTTTTAAACTCTCTTCTCTCTGACTAAATTTTATTAGAAAATACAAAATTTTGTGAATCTCTCTTATTTAGAGTCTCACTCATGATTTGTAGTTTTCTATTAGAAGGAGTGTGTTAAAATACTGATGTTCACTTATGTGAAAGTTTATCATATTGATAAAATATCCTTGTTGTTTGGCAATGTAGTCAATTCCAAGACAAGTTTGGCTTGATAAAAGTGGGAAGCGATTGGTGCAATGGCCAATTGAAGAGGTAGAAAAACTACGTGACAAGCAAATCAGCATTACAGGAGAGAAACTTGTACATGGATCAAATCTTGAAGTCTCAGGTGTCACCGCATCACAGGTAAGTAAATTGATGCTATAATATCTCCAATGATAAATTTTGAGACCAAGTACAACATCAATGCTAAATAATTTTTTAAAATTTAAACTTTTGAAGGCTGACGTAGAAGTGATGTTTGAGCTATCTGAACTAGAAAATGCCGAGTTTCTTGATCCCAATGGAGTTGATCCCCAACAACTCTGTAGCCAAGAATATGCATCAAGAAGTGGCATAATAGGGCCATTTGGTTTGTTAGCTTTAGCTTCAGAGGATCTCAAAGAGCACACTGCAATCTTCTTCAAAATATATAGAGCACCCAATAGATATGTATCCCTCATGTGCAGTGATCAAAGCAGGTTGCTTCTGAATTCTAAGTTTCTAACATTCCCCCCAACTTAATTTTTTGTTCATATATTTTCACTTTTCCTCTGTATTGAACCTCCACATGTAACTTTTTATTGAGACAGATTTTTTTTCTACATTTTTCAGGTCCTCATTGAGGCTTGACCTTGACAAGACTACATATGGAACCATCTTTGACATAGATCCTAATCTCAAAGAAATTTCACTAAGAAGCTTGGTATGTTTATTTCAAATAATAAGTGAAGTCCTCCTTGTTTCATGATGTACTTGCTAATTTGATGTATAATTTTGTACTCATTATTCAGATTGATCACTCTATTATTGAGAGTTTTGGCGATGAAGGGAGAGTTTGTATCACAAGTAGAGTTTATCCATCATTGGCTATAGACAAAGATGCCCATCTTTATGTATTTAACTATGGAAGCCAGAGTGTGGTGATCTCAAATCTGAACGCTTGGAGCATGAAGCAAGCTGAGATTGGTCAGGAGGGAAACATAAGCTATACCTAAGATGAGAAGGATTAGAAGATTTTTGTATACGTGTCTTGTTTTTTGTTTTTCCTTCTTTATTGGTCCCTCCATGATGGGAAGAACTCTGCAGTCTATTGTTATTTAGGAAAGAATTGTAATGTGTCTCTGTAGATCAATGAATTATACATACTCACCAATTTTGTTTAGAACAATTCCAATTCAGTATTAACCTACACAGATTCCAAATTCGTTGAGTTTAGTGACGAATTAGAATCTTAAAAATTGATCCTATCAACATTTAAAAAATATAAGGACAGATTAGTGTCAAACATAACCTAATCAACTATAATTTCCTCGTTACTAAGGGGTTAGGCGATATATTGGATTAGGATTTTAAAAGACTTTTTTAGTTAAAAAAAATCCTGCAAATTTTAAAAGATTTTGTAAGATTTTCATGATTTTTAAGACTTTGAAGGATTTTGCAAGAATTTATTTAAATACAAATTTAGAAGTATCTTTTTAAAACTTTTCTATTGAAAATAAATAGCATTTTTTAATAGAGAAATTTTCAAAAACATTTCTAACTTGTATCTAAACAAATTCTAAACATATTTTCTCTCATATTTTTTTATCCACGTCAATATTACAAAGATGCAACCATCCTCTCCTTTCTATTCTATCCCTTCTGCTAGCTATTTGGCTAATCGTAGTAGTCTTGTTTTCCCTCATATTATTACTAATATTAGTAATCTATTATTAGCCCTGGAAGGTGGAATTGGGATGATTAGACCATGTATAAAAAAATATTTAGAAAGAGCATTAATTGGATCCATCATGGGGCTGCTTCCTTCGTGAAGACTAGTATAACTGCAATGAACACTAAATTAATTCTACCTCATCACGGTACACTATTATCTACAGTGATGGATCCAAAAAAAATTAAGTAAATTTTGGAACATTAATTATATCTGATCCCGCTATAGTACTGTATACTGTTTGGAAAATTAAAACTATTTGATAAATATAAAAACATTAAATTTATAAAAAAAATATTTTTAATTAGTAATATTTTAAAAGGCCATTTTTATTAATGATTATCAAACAATAACAGAAAGTGTTTATAGAGAAAACAAACTAAATATCCATCTCCGGGTAGACCACTATATTTTGAAATATGTAGTTGTCTCATTAAGATTTATCAAAGCAAAATAGTGAAATATAATTTCTCCCCTCCATCACAAGAACCAAAGGGATTAAATATCTTCTACATATTCTGGTATATCTAATTTTATTATCTATTGCTTCATAATTTTATAATTATGAATTAATATATATATATATATATATATATATATATATATAGTATAATATGAAAAAATATTCACTTATTTTAAGAGTAATTCTTAATAAAAATTTTGAATTAATATAATGAAATATTAAGTAATATTCAAATTTTATAAAAGTTAGTAAACTTGAACTATTCATTTTAGAACTTTTAATGTAATAGTTAGATTGTTGAAATTTAATATAAATAATAAGTTATTAAGTAAAATAATTTTATTAAAAATTACTCTTAAACTAAATAAATCTCTTTCATATAAGAAGAAGTAAACGTCAACTTGGTAGTATATTGAAATTTAAAAAGTCTCTGATTATCGATCGAAGAATATGCTTGGGGGCTTGGGGCAAATAAATAAACAAATATATATATATATATATATATATGAAAAGTGGAGCACCAATAAAAGAATGATCTACCCGTTTGTCAGATGTGGCCGAGGTGTGCGTACGTAGCCCACCTGTGGGCTGTGGCTGAAGTGCAGGGCAGGCCCATGGTTGACTTGTATATTGCCAAGATGTAGGTCCATAATATTTTATGTTTTAGTCCACAATTTTATAATACTTAATCACTTTCTCTCTTCCCTTTCTATATAAAACACTAAGATATATAAATGATTGTAGTAACACTACTTTTATTTAATTATGTAAGTTTTACCATTAATGATATAATATAGAACACTCTTTCATCTAAAAAGAACGTTGAAGTAAACTTTTTTAAAATATTATTTCCTTCCATCATTTTTAAAAGACAAGTTGCTTAATTGATAATGTTAATTTATTTTAAATTTATATATTTTAAAAATTACTCTCAATGATTTTAATCAAGAATATTTTTATTAAAATAACTGATACAAAAAAAAAAACATTTTGAAATTGTTCTTATAAAAAATTACCAAACAATACTTTTGATTTGGGTCTTATAAGAAAATGGAAAAAGTAATATTATTAAAAAATAACTAGGAGGTACAACTCTCTTCTATGCGAATTATCCCACTTTTTGAGATAAAGTACTTCGTATTGTGACTTTTACTTCAAGACAATGATCCAAATCTGTTATTAATTAAGAATCATCAATACTAAAATATTTGTGCTAACAAGTTTATCGAGTCAAAGAGTAGTATATTTTGAAGTTACCCATACTCTCTCAAGTTACATGGAGTACAATTTTTCTTGGTTTTGAGTTTTGAATTTTATAATTAGGAAATAAACATGAAACGATTTTATGACTTATGTCGTCATGGTGATCTTATTTTGCTCCAACATGACTATCTCCAATGGAATATACACATGATGTAGAAAAATAAAACGAGTTTACGACTTATTAAGTTAATTAATTCATTTGACTGGATTCGAATTAGTGACTTAATGGCGACTTAAAAAACCTTTAAACTTGCTTTACATAACTTTTAAGAAGGGATGAAAGAGCAAAAGCCGAATCCAACCCAAGCATTAAGGTAGTTGTGATTTTGACGTGCGAGAGTGCCACTTTGATTGTTTAAGATGCGAAATTTGTGTTTACTTATTTATGCATAGATTTTTCTTTTCAATTATGCATTGTTCTGTGCGGAAAAAGAATCATTGGGAGATTCTTCTCACGTTAGGTTGAAAGATTCTAAAAGGGACCCACCAATGTTGTTAATCAATGGCATGGCATGCATGCGAGGTCTGATTTTGTATTAAAGAAAGCCTTAAATTTTGGACAATGAAACCTCCACTACCTTACTCTATTCTACTCTTTCTCCTTGCAGTGGTTGATGTTGTTGATGATGTCACATTGCCGTCTTTTCCCAACCTAAAGGAAAACTAATTGGGTCCCACTACATGGGAAGTGGAATTATAACTCTTGGTCATGCCCTTAATTATCTCATTGCCCTAAATGGGAAAAGATCCTTCCCACCTTAATTCTTTTTTTATTTTTCTCTTTAGATGTTAATTTGTTGCCTATTATTTGTTTGATGTACCTGTTGTTAATGCTAGAGAACATGTTCCTTAGTTACTCTTGAAGTGATCAGTGTGAATTTAAGAGTAGAGTAGTGAAGTCAATAATATGTAACTTAGTGTGTAAGAATTGATTATTGGGGTGTGTTTGGTTTCGTGGTGGAACTATATATGGTGGGCAACTAAAATCTTGTAAAATATGTGATAAAACGTGCAATTCAATATTGTTTCATACTTGCATTTTATTTAGATGAGTGAAATAGAAAAGAAAAAATTATTAAGAAGTGAAATAAAAATAGAAATAATAGAGAAATAAAATGAAAAGGTTACATTGTTTGGATGAATAAAAATAAAATGGAAGGAAGCGAGGGAATTTCTCACGCCTGTTTGGATGAATGAAAAAAGAGAGAAAAAAAATACTTATACATTATATTATAATCGGTAAAAATATATTTTTAAAATATAACATATTTTTCTTATAATAGTTAAAAAATATATTTTTCTTAAAATATTGTTTGTATTATAACATATTTTTTGAAAAAGTTAAACTAAAAAATAGAGGGAGAAATGTTCTCCAGTGGATCCTGCTAAAATAACTTCCTTCCTTTTTTTTATTTCTCTCCTTAAATAAATAATAAAAATGTATTACTTTTTTATTTATATCCTTAATTTCACTTATTTTTCATTAAACAAACAAGGGATAAATGTAAAAATAAACATGATTTTATTTTAATTAACACAATATATGCCCAAATATATATGCTATACATTTGTTTAATCATAATGTTCTTAAGTCATTATTGTCTTTTTCTAAATATGATACAAATGGCACCTTAACTAAATCTAGGATTTAGAAATTGTCATGTTGGACTTAGGGCCCACCACCCAAGTTTACTCTAAATGTTCCTTGACATAATGTATGAATTGTGACATTAAATGGATTTTGTATTCAACAAAATTAAGTTTTGACTTTAGTTTAGTGTTTTTCTGTCAACTAATTATTGATCAAACTTTAATTAGACGGTTTATAAGTTTTTGAATATTGAGTCTAAAAAATATAAATGACTATTTGATAAAACAGTTTACAATTCTTAAAAAGGTAAAGAGTAATGATACATGTATAATAATTTGTATAATAATTTGTATAATAATTATAATTTAAATTTATTTCTCTATCATTTTATTTATTATATTTATTAATAATAGAGGAAATAAAAATAAAGAGTGATGATGTAGAATTTTATTTGAAATTTATACTTACTCAAATACGATATTTTGTTGGACAGTCCAATACTATATAAATACATGCAACTAATACCGTCCTAATTAATCTATTTTTTTTCAATTATTTTGAATATTAAATTACCTTAAAGTATTTGTTTTGTAGTACTTTTTGGTGCAACAAACATACTCATATATGATTAACAAATATGTAAGAAGCACCAAGATCTTTCTCTGGCTGTACTCCAGCTTCTAAGATGCTTTGGCCATAAATAAAGTGTCTTTTGTTTATAGTACTGTGTGCACAGGGAGAAAGCAATGGCACTGCAACTTAGTGCAAACCTTTTAAATTTTGTTTCTATTTGAGGTTCATGAGTTTAGTTTAAAGGGTAAACATTGAAAGTTGATATGTATTTTGATTCTTGGCTGATGCTGATGGTGGTCATGTGGCTCATACTTTAATTAGACTATTGAATTGAGACCTTAGTATGTAGTCATGCATGCCATCACACACCACCCATCAATGCTGTCTCTTGACAAGATGACAGTAATTTAAGTTTGTCCTTGCACCCTGTTTTAGCTTTGAATCTATCTGGGCTTTTTACCTTTTGTGAATTCTAGATTCAATAACAATTATTAAAATATCTGCAATAGTGCCCCCACTCCAATATGTTACTATTTTTCATTTTTCACAGAATGCAACATTAACAAATCTAAGGAAGATAATTTTTTATAATCAGTTGATGGTTCTACCACCTTGGCGTGGGACTTTGGTAAAAGTAAAAGAAAATAAAAATAATGTCACTATCCATCAATTTTGTAAAAAAAAAAAAGGGGGAAAGCAATTTATACCAATCTAGTCAAAGAAAGGAGGAAGAATAAGAGGCAGGAGCTGGGGTTGCAATTCCATCTCCTTTTATATAAATGATTCTTAGCCGCATATATAATTAACTAATGAACTGTGCTTAAAGTGGTTATATTAATTCCTTTTTAGAGGACAGTATTTCACTACCATAGTGATTTGATTCTATGAAGTTCACAAAATTGTCAAGGTTAAGGGGGAAATTTTGAATTCAATGCATATTTACAATCCAGTTAATTAAAAAGTAAGAAAAGATATTTGAAAATTAGAAGAAAATTGTATTTAGGACGTGGAAGTAAAGACAATATTAATATATATATATATATATATAAATGAAAATAGATCATTCTTTAAATAAAAAATTTATGGTATGATGTATTTTATTTAATAAAATAAAATTTGGTATAATTTATTTTATTTAATAAAAAAACAAATTCAGTTTTTTAAAAACTATATTTATTTAAAAAGGTTTAAATTAAAATTAATTTATTTATTTATATGATATAATAAAAAATAATATATATATATATATATTATTAATAATATAAATAAATTTATAACATAAAAATTTAAATTATTAATAACTTTATATATTTTTATTATACTTAAATAATTTATATTTTTTATTATTTGTATTACGAGTTGTACATGAATGTTCATAAATATATATAATGTTCATAGATATATATAATTCTTTCACATTAATTTTTTTAAAAAATTTAATAATAATAATAAAAGTAAATTATTTTTTATCAAACAAAAAAAAATTATACGTATTTAAAAATATATTATTAACTTATTTAAAATTAAATTTATTAATCTTGTTAATATAAAATAAACTTATAAATCATACTTATATAAAAAGTTATGATAAAAAATAAATTAAATTTTAATTTTAATTTTAATTTTAATTTTATATAACAAATATTATTTATATATTTAAAGTTGATCTAACATGTATTTGTTAGTATCTAGGCATGACAAATTTAAACTATATTTGCTTGATAATAATTGGAGGTGCGTGCATTTCTTGATTAAAAAAATTTATCTCTTTCATGACCTTCATCATCTTTTCCAAAGTACTTTGAGAACTCCCTTTCCAACTTTCTTCCTTAACGGCTTAACCCCCACAGGGGACAACAAAGTCAAGAACCCTAAAAAAAATCATCACTCTTTTGAACGGCTATGATTGTCCCTATCATTGTTAATGGATCGTGAAGCAATTCTCACACCCAATAAAACCAGCCATAAAAATCCCTCCCAGGATGTAGTAAATTTAGTCCGAAAGATTAAAGTCTAAGTTATTACTCTTTCAATACGGTTGCAAAAAGTCATAAACTATTCATATTATATGGAGATTATTTTTTTTTCTTAAATTACAAAAAGAAAATGTGTTATCAATATTGTTTTTAATAAAAAAAATATTTATTCATTGATTAACAATAATTCTATTTACTAGTTAAAAAGGATTAAAAAAAAACTAAAAATTTCTTAGATAAAAATTATTATGGGTGAAGTTGATTGCATAATAATAATTGAGAAATATGGCAGCCAATCTAAGGAGGATGCATCCCGTGAATAGTAATAGATGAACATATCGAAGCGAACCAAACCCTTGTCGCTCTCACCTTCACTGAACACAGATGCTCTCGCCCAACACGTGTCACTCAAAACCGGCGAGTATCTTAATTAATCAAACCATACTCTCAGATCGATTCCACCGTCTCTATGCACCCATTCATTTCATCACTCATTCATAGAAACGCTAAATTATTAAGACAAGAGAAGTAAATGAAAATGAAATTAAAATTGAAATTGAAATTAAAATTAAAATTGAGATTTCATTGATTTGACATAGAGAGGAGATGACCTAAAATTATACCATTAATAAGTTTTTTCTTCTTTTTTTTTTGTTTTCTGAAAGTAAATAATAATAGTGATAATAATTGGATATATCTAAGTGATAATTAGAGAGTAATTATAATTATTAATGATATTATACCCAGAGAGCCCCGACTTGGACGAGCTTGGGGACGAGGTGGCCGCTGACGTGGAGGGCGACGAGGGACTCAAGGCCGCCGATGGAGGCGCCGCCGATGAAGACGGCGGGAGTGGGGGAGGGGTGAGGGAGGGCGGCGATCTCATGGTCGTCCAATTCGATGACGGTGGGGTTGACGCCGATGGTGGCGAGGAGCTTCTTCATGACGTGGCACATGCAGCAGGAGGAGCGCGTGAAGATGATGACGGGGTGCTCCGATATGAGGCGCGTGATGCGGGCCTCGGTGGACTCGTCCACGTCGATGGAGAGGGAGGAAGAGGAGGAGGAGGTGGAGGAGGAGTTGGTGGTGGAGAGGTCTAGTTGGACGACGTCGTTTGAGCAGCGGTGTAGGCCCTGCATCGTGTGGGTGGGAGAACAGGGAAAGACTGAGAACAAGGGAAGAAGAGAATGAAATGAGAGGTGGAAGCGTTAGAGTTTTTATTTATAATCAAATTAAATAAATTTAACACTTTCTTCGTGCTTGCTTACGTCACTTTACTTCTGTACAACTTTCTTTCTTTCTTTCCTCGTCTCAACTCCTTACTCTCTTGCCTTTACCCACTGCCACTCTTCTTTCCTTTTCTCCACTCGCGCTTCCAATGCCAATTTTTTCATTTTTTTTTTAATTCATTCAAGAAAAAATTCTCTTCACTACTTTAACTAATTTTTATGCTTTAAAAAATTATTATAAATTAACTACACTAGAGAGATGTCGAAAAGAAATGCAAATAGGAGGAATTAATAATACAACTAGAGAAAAACATTCGAATCTCCTTTTGCTTATTATATGCATTCAAATACTACCAACTCTTGTAATTTGACTACAAGTACATACATGTACAACCATATTATAGCCAGCATATCACACTTAACTTTCAGTGTTAAGTTGCAAATGATATAACATCAACTTGGGTGGATATATATTCGCATTTCAAATTTCTTTTTATTTCTTTTTTTTTTCCCATAAAGATCATGTTGTGAGGAAAAGAGGGCTGAGTGAACACGAATTGCCGAGGAGGCGCGTGGGACATGCAATAAGGTGGTTCGGAAATAGGGGAAATTTGCCGGTGAAATAGCGTGAAGCGATCACATGGGTTGCAAACCACGGGGTGACGTCACATTGACTTGGACGTGGAACGGTAAGATTAAACCGTGACGTAACCAAAAGTTAAAATCCATGCTGTGAAGTAAAAAAATAAACTTATTTAATAAAAAAATTTAAATCTGGTTTCACATTACCTACTTAATAAAAAGTTATATTTATGTTTTTTAAAAGTGTTTATTTATTTAAAGATTAAGTTTAAATTTATAAAAAAAATTAAAACTTAATAAGTTAACTTATTTAATTATATCATATAATAAAAATAGTATATATATTATCAATAATATAATTAAATAGATAAATTTTTAATAAAAATTAAATTATTTATATTTTTGACATTTCTACTATACTTAAATATTTTATATTTTTTATTACACAAAATTAAGAAATAAAAAATAGAAACTCTTACAATCATATCTTTGTCTATTCTTTTCTTTCATCCTAATAGTTGGTTATGTGAAATATTCTAAATGGGATATGATATAGAATACATTTTAGAATATTTTTTTTATAACATTATTCCCTTTTATCATGGTATATACATGAGCGCATGTGGATATTAATAGTTCATTTTTAAAGTTCAATATATATGTGTGAATAAAGTTTAATTTTATTTAGACTAAAAGTATCATTTATCAAAAATAATCATGTTCGAATTAAGTAAAATCACTACACAGTAACACAATTGCATATCCAATATTTGAACTTGAGAATCCTATCAATTGAGTAAAGTTTAATTTTAATACATGTATTTGAGTAAGCAGTAGCAAAATTGAGTATATCTTTTAAGATGAGTGCAAACAATGGTTAAAATTTATTGAATATAAATTTAGGAGAGACAGTCATTAAGTATGATATACCCACTAAATTTAGTATTTCTAATAAATTGCAACCAATTTAAAAAAAAGTGTATTAGGCAGAGTGTTGCTGACATTTCTCATATTATTTCAAATGTGCTATATAGAGTGTTAGAGAGCATATTTAAAATAATTTGCAAAATTTATTTAAGTCAAATTGATTTTGTAGAATTAATGTAATAAAATATAATTTATGTTGGATGTGTTTGGAGATGTAAGATTTATTGGATAAAATTAACATATAAATTAGCTAAAAAATTTATAAATTAATTAAAATTTTATCTATATAAATATATAAAAGGAAATAATTCTTCCTGCAACCATTTTTTTTTCTTCTATAATTTGTGAATGATTATACCCATTATTAAGAAAAATATAATTTTAGTAACCACTATTAAGCAACTCTAAATAATTGCCCACACTATTATGTTTTTTTTGTTTGTTTTACTTTTAAAAATACTTAAAGTACGAAATGTCTTTTTCCTCCAAGTAAACTATAAGTTATGATTTGGAAAGTTGAAAGCTTATAAACTATTTGATTAAAGTGAAAATGTTTATTGAAATAAGAGTAATGTAATAGCTCGGACACACCGAAATAAGAAGGATCTAGAGATTGTACAAGTATGAGATTGTATAGTGGATAATGACTTAAAAGAATTGATTTGTATTATCTATACCAATAACAAGATACATCTATTTTTTGGTAGCTTATTCCCATAAGAACTTTTCAATTAACCATGTTTGACTTTGAGTAATTTAGGGATGGGAAGTTTCTCATAAAGAGTGTGAGTGAAAACAAAGTACATTGAAAAGTCTCGTGTTGGTTTATGGGGTCAGTCATTGATCCAAAAAGCGGGCGAACATAGCAAAAAGGGCTACCCACGAAGGGTTTTGACCGATGAAGGGTTCTGACTAACGAGAAGTTGTGTGAAGTGTCACCATGTGAAGTATCACCGTGTGAACTGTCGTGAAGTAGAGTCGCTGAGATGTCAAGGTGGACTTGTAACAGCTCGGGCACACCAGAATAAGAAGGATCCAAAGATTATACAAGTATGAAATTGTATAGTTGATGATTTAAAAGAATTAATTTGTAATCCTTATACCAACAAGATGCATCTACTTTTCGATAGCTTATTCCACAAGAACTCTTTAGTTAATAGTGTTTGACTTAGAGTAATTTAGGGATGAATGACCTTCTAAAAAGTTTCTCAGAAAATGTGCGAGTGAAAACAAAATACGTTGAAAATCGTTAACCCTAAAAGTAGATTAATAGCCCAACAAGAAATTGTGTGATGTATCGTGGAACTGCTAAGATGTCAAAATTGAGGGATGTCACAAGTAATACAATGATAAGATAGCAAAATACTTTTTAAATTAAAAGTGGTAAAGATTCACCCAAAAAAAATTCAAATGATAAAAAGTTTTTAAGAAAAATAATTAGAAAAAAAAAGTCAAGAGCATATAAGTAGACATGACAACTAAACTTGCATCTATAAATACTCCAACTTGATTTTGGTGGGAAAAATCTGCTTTGACTAGGTACAATTTTGAGTACAAGTTTTTTTTTCAACGTGAGAAATTGGGTTTAAAGACGAGTTTGGATATGTAATTCACTATAACTGCCCTATTGCAACTTTTTTATAGTTTTTTACAGCAAATATATATATATATATATATA